ACAATCCAGTACGATATTAAAACGCACAACGCACGATGATATATACATACATATATATATACATATATATATATATATGTATTTTTTTTTTTTAATATAATACGCTGCACAGCAGGATTTTTGGCGCAAAGTGTAATCTATAAAAATATCTCTGCATTTAGTCGGAGCAAGTGATAATATAATAAATATATCTTGAAGGTTCTTCTCACCGAGAGAAATCGATTCTCGCGCGTGTTCTGAACAGAATGAAATATAATAGCGCAAAGGCATATATATATATAGGACGGGGGGAGAGAGAATTCTTTGAGGGGTTTTTCGGACAATGATTGATTCGTGCCACGTAACAGTAATAATCGAGGGCTTCGAGTAACTTGAGTGACAACACGGGCGTGTTTTATATAACGTCGGGTTTGTCAAATTGATTTGAAGCGTGATCGGAACAAGGAACCGTGTAATATCTTCCGCTGCGGCGAATAAATAAACATGCCGAACATGTTTTTTTTTTTTTTTTTTCACATATCGATGTTAACGTACTGACCTCTTTTGTCCCTATATAAGAATTTGTTTGCATTTTAACGAACATACATATAGTGTGTTTGAGATAATCGAGATCTAAAAAGCGTCAGTATGCCTGGCATTTTTGAACGCGCGCGCATACACATACGCTTTTTTCTCACATTTTCTCTATCGCGTGTTATGAGATATAGAAATTCACTGCGTGCTTACAAAGTCAACACGGTCCGTTTTTTTTTTTTTTTTTTTTGTACTTACACTCGCGCGCGTCACACTACAACCCGGATCCACACTATATACTGCAAGAAAAATTAAGCGAAGTCGCGTCGCAGAACTTGCGCGGATTCAACACACAAGTGGATTTGGAAAATCCTTAAATTATCTTCAACTCTAAAAGTGAACCGTGGATCTCGACGCGTTTGATTTGATTTTAAAATTACAAAACTTTTGTACAAAAAAAAAAAACCCCGCTTATTACGTCCTGTTGTTTGTTTAAACTGATGAAACAATTTTAATAATAAATTTATTTTCAATAATTCTCGAAGAGAATTTCAAAAATGTGTTGGACAAAAAAGACCCACTGGTTCAGAATTGGAGTTAAAACAAATACGAATGCAACACATACAGAATTGCTTCGGTTCTCAACGATGGCTTTGACATCAAAAAAAAAAAAAAAAAAAAAACGAGTTTAAATTTCAAGCTCTGTTTGATCTGAGCGCCGCATTTCTTTGTCGACTGTCATTAATTACAGAACCAAGTTTTTCTTTGAAATTTAAGAGCTCATAGAGGTCTCGGTGCTTGAAGTTTTCAATAAACTGCTTTTGCAAAGTCACCCAGTAAGATCCAAAGTAATTCCACTTAACGATCTTTGTTTGTGTTTTATCACGACCGTAAACCTACTCATTCTTCATTAACCTAATCGATTTTTCTGCCAATCGCATTATCCTCGCGGATACAGTCGTCCGCAAACGAGAGCCATTAGCAGCGCAACTTTCTTTAAAGGGGAGAGACGCAAAAACGGACAACATTGTAAACTAATAAATCTAAGTGCGCACTATGACGCTGCGACAACAGATAACACGACACGTGTGCCGTCGACGTGCGGTCGTAAAATTAGCTTATCATTGTCAGGTAGTTATACATAGATTATATAATTTCTCGATATTTAACATTCGGAGCGGACCAGCGTTTTTTTTTTTTTTTTTTTTTTNTTTNTTTTTTTTTTTTTAAGTATAATCTTTGCTTCTTCGGTGAGTTTTCTCTCAATTAAACCATTAGAGATATATTGTCGTTAGGACGTTATACATTTCTGTTTGTGACGTATATTATCAGCCGCTCTTTGCTTTCTCCCTTTATCTGTCGTCGTGTTTGGATTCGTTCGCGAATTTTGTCCCCCGTGTGTAAATTTCGTCGTCCAAATGTTTTCCGCGCTGGTGTTTCGAGAGTTTCGCGGGACCACAATCTTCTTTCCCCGTGTTCTTCTTCGCGTGATTGTCAACGTGAGAGAAAACGAGAAACGTTCGTACCTTGGAGGCGAGCGTCATCTCGACAGATTGAAAAGCATAATCAACGTAGCGTTATCGTGGAGAACGGCGCTATTTCCAATGCAAAGAAAGACACTGCGCGGTGGGGGGGACGTTTCTCGAGATATATAAGCGTTAGGAAAATATATTATTGTCAAAAACACGACTATATCACCTCGATTTCGCGTTATTCCGTGTGTGTTCGAGGCGCCGCGAATAATCTGCGTACAATATATATGAACGGACTCTTCTTTTTTCTCTCTTCCTCTCCTTCCCTCTCTCTCTCTCTCTCTTTTTTTATTCCGTATCTCTTTTGGTAACGTTCTTCGCAAAGTGCGACGCGTCATCGGAAGGAAACTTTTGCGCGTCAGGTAGATTTTTTTAAAGAGACAAAACTTCGATTTAATGAAAAAACAGTTTTACATGATTTAGTTTAGATGATTTGTAAAAAGAATTTCAAAAGGTGAAAAAAACATATCCATAGAATCGGGGTTAATATAAAAGATTTCGTTAAATTTTTTCAATATTTTGTACTTTGATACTTCGTCTGAGAGTGCTTTGCTTGTGGTTGTGTGGAAAAATTTATCGATTTTTTGTAATTTAAAATTTAAAATCGAACACACGAGCGTCTTAATCCAGTTGTCGCACACACAACGGATGTTTCTGTTTCGGATGCGCGTCGTTCGGAACTGTTCTTTCTTATTAAAAGTAACACAAGTCAAATTCTGAAGACGGTTAAGAAGACAGGTACGTTACGCGTCGCCGCGATTCATCGAAAAATCTACATCTCTCGCTCGTCCTTCAAAATCTGACTTGGGTCAGATCGGTCCACCTTCTTCGCGGTGAAAACCGTCGTTTTCGCGCGCGATCGAAAAATTAATTACGGCTCTAGGTATCGGAGAACTTTCGCCTGCGAAAGTAATAATATTGCATTAAATCTCGCGTCGTATGTACAAATACAATCGTCAATCTGTCAGATTGTCAAAGGTTTCGTTTTCCTCTGAGCGTTCCCAACAATCTGAAAAACTCTCAACCGGCTACCGTGCCGTTCTTTCGAGATTGACTGCGCGCCTCGCACGTTAAATATTTAATAATAATCTCCGCGTCGTCGAAAAACGAAACGCACTTGACACTTGATCGATCGCGAACCGGACAGAATTTATTGTCTGTGCGTTCCTCGCGAACGCATCGTTCCGAACGAACGTTCCCCGTCTCTCTCGTGTTTCGCCCCCGTTTACTTGAAACAAAAAAAAAAAAAAAAAAAACGATCGAGTTGCCCGAATCTCGAAACACGCGCGTTTCATCTGAAATCTCTTTTAAAAGATCTCCTTCATTCTTCTCTTCATTCTTCTCTTTTTTTCGTTTTTCCCCCCTCCCTCATATTTCACCTCTCAGCGCGCACACGTACGGTCAATCGAGATAAGTGCTCTTAAAGCCGATATAAAGTATTCGAACGCTTTGGAAAAGTAAGCGCGTGTAATCTAATCGCGACGAGATAATACATTATAAAATCGCGATTCTCTCTTGAAAGCGGATACGCGAAGACGGACGATACAACAGATACAACGTATTCGCTTATAAAAGAATATTTGAAAAAAAAAAACTCAATTACTTTGAAATGAAATAAGAAAGTATTTAATTCCGATAAATATAAATAAATAAATAAATAAATAAATTGCGTACTCTTTTTTAATATTAAAATATTACTCTTTTAATAATATTCAAGTTACAGTATGAAAAATAACAAAACAGCCTTGTTATTTCTCTTTTGCACATCCCCGATTCCGATTGACGTATCGTACGTTTGTGCGCCCGCGTGTACGCGTTTACTATCGCGTTATTTCAACAATCTTTCTTCGCATACACCTCTCGCGTATCAATCGACTTCGTCTTCTTCTTCAGCTTACGCTTCCCGGGTTGGGACTTACGCGCGCGTGCATGCGCGCGTGCATGCATGCGTGCGTGCGTACGTGTGTGAGTATGTGTGTGTGTGTGTGTGTGTGTGTGTGGAGCGCGGGCGGCGAAGGACGTATGTATATACAGTGTATTAAATATTCGTATGATGTATATATTACTATCTATACAACGTTTCCTCTTTTTCTTTTGGTAGCAACATCGTCACGTGTAATAATAATAATAACAAATAATAATATAACAATAATAATAATAATCCACGTTTTACAGCTCCGCCGTTTTACTTGCGGACGCTTTTTATCCGACGCTATATTTAGTCGATATTTAACACTACCGTCTATTATCGCGTGCTAAACGCGCGGGATTTCTCTGATTTTTTTGGTTTTCTTCTTCTTATTAAACACGTCTAAAACGTACGTATCGTAACGACATAATGCGCGCGCGTAGCGATCTGCACACTTCTGGAATCTGAATATCGCGCCGATTGTGCGATACAGCGGTAATACACTTGGTGCGCCGACGTTTCATTTATTCTCTCTCTCTTTCTCTCTTTTTGATATCGTCTCTTCTTCTTCTTTCAACAACGCCGCAATATTTTCGCGCGTTTTGTTTTGTTCTTCTCAATTTCGTCCCGGTCAAATGTAATTTCCGTTTCTCTTTCTCTCTCAATCTCGCGTTATATCAGAAACGTTACATGCTCATTGATCGCAAAATAGGTACTCGCCGATTGTTGTCGCGCCGAGATTGTCGCAACTGAGTGATACACGATCGCTGAGAATGTAACTAAGCGATTGTCAATTGTCAGAACGTATACGCATTCTCGAAAAGTTATCGTTTTTTTGTTGTTTCTTTGAAAAATGACGACTTTTCAAATAATCGCAGTGCAATATTACACATTTATTTCTACTTTTTCTCATTTCGCGGCATCTCTCTCTCTCTTCTTCTTTTTCAACCGGGACTTTTCGGGATCTCTCCGCGGTTCTCGCACTCGCACGATTACGACCGATCGCAGATTCGCGGTACATATCGAAGCGGAAATGTTAATTACTCTTTTTTTTTTTTTTTTTTGTTTTTTTGTTTTGTTTTTTAGCGTGTTGTGTGCCCGCTATAAGGTCCGCTAAGGATTCATAAGAAGTGATGGCGATGAGAGGGGGTTGACAATAAGATCGACAGAGACGTGCGTGTGTGACGTGGCTACACTTTATGGGTTACGCGTCGTCCGCGTATAATACAAGCGGTAAAAACACTCGAAGTACGATATACTTTATTTTTATTTTTATTTTTTTCTCATTTAAGCGTCGCGTTTTCGAGAAAACGCTCGACGCAAAGGGAGGAGAGAATATATCGGGAGAAATATCGTTTAGTAGTATAGTAACATATGTGTGTGTGTGTTTGTGTGTATGTGTGTGTATATATATATATATATTATGCAAACATACATGTATATACTAGTTATATATCACACAGGACTTTCTCGCGGAAGCGCTCAAGGGGGGACGTGGAAAGCTATTAGTTTTTTTTTTTTTAACTCCTAAGTCGCTCCGTAAGTAAGTAAGTTTATTATCGCGGGGGCGCGGGGGAGATCCAGAGATTAAGGAGTACGTAAAAGTCTAAACGAAGCTCGGTTGATTGTTCCGGGTGACGGCGCGACTCGCGCCCCTTCCCCCCCCTCTGCCCCCATCGTTTTTCTTTGACATAAGTATCTTTACCGTGTGTATATATATATATACATATATATATACGTATATTATACGTTATACCATATATTACGTCTAAAGTTGCAAATTTACTCGTCTATAAGATTAGTCCGAAGGAGCGCGAGGTGTGTGTGTGTATGTATGTATGTATGTGTGTGTTGTGTGTGTGTGTGTGTTTTATATATAATAATGCGTACGTGCAATTCGCGGAAGAAAGTCTCTCCCTTTTTCCGTTTCCAAAAAGCGTATTATTCGCGGCAATTGACGCGCATCCCGCGTAAATAATCCGAAGATCTACAGAGCGTGTCTCTTTCTCTCTCTCTCTCTCTCTCTCTCTCTTTCTCTCTCCAGATTTTCCGCTCGCGCTACTCTTACGACTACTCTCTCTCGCGACCACTTCCCTCTCAAAAATCTCTCGGCTATGTCGTAAAATCGTGATGCGACTTTTTTTCATCACGCTCGCTTTTCCGCGATCTCTCATGGCACCGTGTACATCCGAGCGATTTGACGGTTGATCGGCTTCGACTGGCCGATGTCAACGTTTTGATTTTTTTTTTTTTTTTTTTTTTTTTTTTCCCTCGACGGCTTTGAGTGCCACTAGCTCTATGGGGCATGAAACGACTTCTCGTTATACGATCCTAGGAAGTCGAGGAACCGTTGGTCGGCGAATCCGTTTATTCCTTCGCTCACTTTGTCGGAGATCCTCTGATGCTTTTGACGTCTCTACCACTTTTTCTTCCCCGATTCTTCAAACTAATTTTTCGACGTTAGAATCGTCACGAATTCTGCAACAAGCGTGTGATTGGTCAGCGATGCAAGAATTGCATTTATTTAACATCGCCATTTCTTGTGCATACAAGTGTGTAAATTTTTTTTTGCGGGAAATAGATCAAGAGAGGATGTGGCATTTAAATAATAAATATCTCATTAATTTCAACACACACCGTGATAAACAATCGAAACAAGACTATTGACATTCAACCAAGAGAGAAATAAAAAAAAAAAAGAAAATTTTTTCACGTAAAATTTTTTTCCACACCGCTCTCGCCAGATTTTCCATCCGGAACTTTTCAGAAGCAAATTCTGCTCGCGGGAACTACATGAAATATTCAAATTCAGTCATTTCCATAAAAAAAAAAAAAAACCTCAAGAGCAATTGGATTCCTGCCGTTCGGCAGGATGTATTTACATTTATACCAGCTGATGTGTCCTTTTGAAAACAGGGACGTAGCATTACAATAGAATTTGCGCACTTTTGCGCGCAACAGAACTTACTTCTTGAGAATTTACATATTATTATCCCCTACCTTCGTAGTTGACCATTCCGTCGCCGTCCAGATCCGCCTCCTTGATCATGTCGTCGACTTCTTCCTCGGACAGCTTCTCGCCGAGATTCGTCATTACATGCCGCAGCTCCTTCGAGGAGATTAAGCCGTCGTTGTTCTTGTCGAACACTCTGAAAGGAAAACGAGCGTAGGTGCTAAAGTCGGGCGGACTTTATCTGCATCTTAAAATTCCCCCGAGGGCGAAAGAAGTTATCTCTAGAATGTCTTTTTCGATGCAATTATCGCGAGGACAATTAAGTTCCCCTCCGGGATGGGAAGGAGGGAGAAAGTACTTTCCCAAGGGGAAAGAGCTTATTACCGGAACGCTTCGCGAAGTTCGTCCTCCCCGTCGGCGCCTTTCATCTTCTTCGACATCATTTGCAGAAATTCGTTAAACTCGATGGTGCCGTTTCCGTCTTGATCCACCTCGTTCACCATGTCGCGCAGTTCCGTCTCTGCGGCAAAAGAGAGATTTGCGTCGTCGTCGTCGTCGTTTTCATCTTTCTCTCTCTCTCTCTCGTAAGCAAAGCGCAATCGGAAACGTGCGCGAGAGCAAAGCATCTAAGTGACTACTCACCCGATGGTCTTTGACCGAGTGATCGCATGACAACCCCCAATTCCGCCATCGTGATCGTACCGTCCTCGTCTTTGTCGAAGAGCATGAATGCCTCTTTGAACTCTGAAATAACAGAGACAGAGTCTAGCTGTTATCGCGCCGCGGATCTGTTCTATACGTACTTGAGACAAAATAGTCACAGTGTATAGCGGCACACATGTATACTCGACGAAAGTGTGTGTGTGTGTGTGTGTGTTGTGTCTCGTTACGCGCTGATTAATTATTCAAACGCGAAATACGAGATGTCGAAACTTACGTGTGTGCAATACGGCAAATATTACTCTCTTTTATTTTTGATGTAATTTTGATGTAATTTTCGGTAGTCGCGTGTTGTTTTTCTCTGTGTTTTTAATTTTCAAATCAAGAGACGCGGTAGCGTCTCGACGCCAAGTACATAAAAGTATCCGCTAAATGAGTGTCACTGTCTGAATGAGTGTCACTGTCAAGACGCTGC